TTCAGTGGAAGGGTCATTTAGATGACTTGTTCACCAGGCTCCTAGCAATGGGATAGTCTCTTTACTAGACCAGGCGCTACAATTCAATTAGATCTCAGAATAGGTACATTGAATACGTAGAGTGTAATAGAAAGGGCTGGGGGACTAAGGCTGCGTCTAGTATTTCTACCACATTGCCAGTTGAAACCATGACCTGTTTCCGTACCCCCTGACAGGATTGGCTGAGATCACTGCTGAGACTTTGAAGCCCTTCGATGTTTGCTCATTAAGCCATGCTTGGGAAGCGATTATCAAAGTTTCTTCCAATCTAATCTGTTGTCACAACCACCTCTGAAACCGTCTGTGTTTAGGATGTTGCAGTGTCTCAGCTGGTGTAACCATGACCTTGTTGATTTCCCTCAGGGCAGTTCTGATTGCTAGAACGCAATGATTCCGAATAACTGGATCTCGTTATTTAGGCAGGAGAGAGTGCAGTCGCCTCAAGGGCTTGTTCCTAGTGCATCTAGAAGGAATACCCTCAGCAGTGCAAGCCCGGTCACTGCCCGGGCTCAGGAGGCCGGCGGCAGTCCCGTTGTGTTTCTGGCTCTGGTGTTTGAGTGTCTTGGCTGCTGTGGGTAATACAGGATGGTGCCATTTGCTCCAAAGCGGAAGCATTTTTTTCTGCTTCTTCAGGCGAACAATTCAGATGTTTAAAAGTCAGCAATTGTCTGCCCAGGTAATGAACAATGTTCCTATTGAAAAGAAACAGGCTATTGAGTGTCTTTCCTTTAATCATAAGTGTTTGGGATCTTCTGAGGCCTATTATAAACACTCCTGGGCCCCAAATCAGAAGACAGGCAGAGGTGATTTTTATAATCGTATAAAGGTTTAGAGCTATGACTTATTAAAAAGTATGTTTGTATTGATTTTAGAGAGAGGAAAGGAGAGGAAGGAACATCGACCGGCTACCTCCCACAAGCCACCTACTGAGGATTGACTCTGCAACCTGGGCATGCACCATGACCGGGAATTGAACCAATGACCTTTTCTTGTATGGCACAGATGCCCAACCAACTGTGCCACACTAGCCAGGGCTATAGCTATGACTTTTATAGCTTCAGAGCCTTTATTTTTCTACAAAAAATACTTGGAATATCAATATATAAAACATATTAAATTATAAAACATATTAAATTAATATTTTACATGTATTAACATTAATACATGAGGTCCATTTGATGAGATATATTTCAAACTCAAAAAAATTGAACTTAGGACTTCATGTTCAATTAAGTACTGATTTCTATTTGCTGAGGTTTTGTTTCCCGTATGAATTCCAGGGCTCACAGATGACAACAGCAGTCTTATGTCAGTCATAGCACCTACAAAATAAAAATTTGCAGAACCCCCAAAACACCTACATTGGACCCCAACAGAACACAGTTTGATTTGCACTGGTCTTATCTAATCCCGCTGCTTTCTAGTTGAGAAAACAGAGGCCCTGAAAGAGTTAATAATTTGCCCAGAGGCGTACGGGAAAACAAATTTGTTGTGTGCCTACTACGTGCTGGCAGTGAGATGTATTCTACAGACAACAGCCAATATGTTTTCGAAATTTGCCTAAGTTTTGTGATATTTTTGATACTGACATTATTATTTTTTTAAATATATTTTATTGATTTTTTACAGAGAGGAAGGGAGAGAGATAGAGAGAGTTAGAAACATCGATGAGAGAGAAACATCGATCAGCTGCCTCCTGCACATCTCCTATTGGGGATATGCCCGAAACCCAGGTACATGCCCTTGACCGGAATCGAACCTGGGACCTTTCAGCCTGTGGGCCAACGCTCTATCCACTGAGCCAAACCGGTTTTGGCGATACTGACATTATTATCTCCATATCCCAAAACTGAAGTACTGAGAGGCTGAGGAAGTAGGTGGCAGCCAAGCAACAAAGGCCTTTTAGAGGCATGGATGACTTTTGCCAGAGACCAATTCCAGCATGATAGCCAGGCTGCATCTGGGAATGGCTGAAGGCATTTCCCCAAACCTGAAAAGGAATTATTGCTTGGCTGCCAGACAGTTAAAGGGCATCTTTTTTTTTTTTTTTTTTAAATTTTATTGCTTACAGTCTTGCAAAGGGTATTACATATGTGTCCCTTTTTTCCCCCCGCCCTTGACAATCCCCTGGCCTCCCCTACCCCCCAGTGTCTTATGTCCATTGGTTATGCTTATATGCATGCATACAAGTCCTTTGGTTGATCTCTTACACACCACCCTCCTGCCCCCCACCCCTCCCCGGCCTTCCCGCTACAGTTTGACAATCTGTTTGAGGCTGCTCTGCCTCTGTATCTATTATTGTTCATAAGTTTATAATGGTCTCTATTATCCATGAATGAGTGAGATCATGTGGTATTTTTCCTTCATTGACTGGCTTATTTCACTTAGCATAATGCTCTCCAGTTCCATCCATGACGTTGCAAATGGTAAGAGTTCCTTCCTTTTTAGAGCAGCATAGTATTCCATCGTGTAGATGTACCACAGTTTTCTAATCCATTCATCTACTGATGGGCACTTAGGCTGTTTCCAGATTCTAGCTATGGTGAATTGTGCTGCTATGAACATAGGGGTGCATATATCCTTTCTGATTGTTGTTTCTGGTTTCTTGGGATATATTCCTAGAAGTGGGATCACAGGGTCAAATGGGAGTTCCATTTTTAGTTTTTTGAGGAAACTCCATACTGTCTTCCATAGTGGCTGCACCAGTTTGCATTCCCACCAGCAGTGCACAAGTGTTCCTTCTTCTCCACATCCTCTCCAGCACTTGTCGTTTGTGATTTGTTGATGATAGCCAGTCTGACAGGTGTGAGATGGTACCTCATTGTTGTTTTGATTTGCATCTCTCGGATGATTAGTGACTTTGAGCATGTTTTTATATGTCTGTTGGCTTTCTGAATGTCCTCTTTTGAAAGGTGTCTATTTAGGTCCTTTGCCCATTTTTTGATTGGATTGTTTATCTTAAAGGGCATCTTAATCTACATGTTATTGCCTCCTACTGGCCAAACACCTGAACAGCCGTAGGCTAATTCTTCCATTCTGACAATGCTTATGTATACCCTTTGCAGTGTATATCTCTGCCTCGCCTCAGGACAAATTGTGTTAATAAAAAGCATGGGGTCCTGGGACGAGGAGACCTGAGACCTTAGACCAGTGGTTCTCAACCTTCCTGATGCCGCGACCCTTTAATACAGTTCCTCATGTTGTGGTGACCCCCAACCATAAAATTATTTTCGTTGCTACTTCATAACTGTAATTTTGCTACTGTTATGAATCGTAATGTAAATATATGATATACTATATGTGTTTTCCGATGGTCACGACCCACAGGTTGAGAACCGCTGCCTTAGACCTTAGACCTTAAAACTTAGATCTTAGCTCTTTCAGCTAGGCTCCTCTGACCCCCAATGCCTTTCAAAATTATGCTTCATCTCTGGACTCCTATTTAATCTATGCACAGCCTTCTCCAGGTTTCCTGAACCCTTCTTGATGCTGGGACAAGAACCCCGGCAACTTTGGCTGTCAGTGTCAGTAGGCGGGACTTGATCAGAAGTGTGTTTTGAATACGGTGTTCCATGGACTTCACATGCTTTACCTTATAACCCATAGAAAAGCTGAGAGAGGCACTCACGATCGCATTATCCCTGTTTTCCACATGAACATACTGAGACCCAGAGAAATGGTTTGACTTGGCCTGGGAGCAAGTGGCAGAGCTGGGACCTGAACCAGGTGGCTCTGGCCGAGGAGCCCTGCGCTTTTAGAGCTAAGCAGCGGCCAGTGCTCTAGAGCCAGAGACCACCGGGAACACTCTTGTGTTTCAACAAGTTGAGCGCAGTGGTCACTGCAACAAGGGTGATAACCGTGGAGAATGTGGGCGTCTCTGTAAGGGCGTCAGGAAGGACTGACAGGGTTGGGCTGTTAGGAGACTCGAAGGCTGTCTTTGTTTGAGGTAATTCTGTTTCTTAATGATATAATCTTCTAAGAGAGGAGTGGAGTGAAGCTAGAGTTATAGTCAGTAAAGAAGCAGCAGTCAGGCCTGGCCGGGTGGCTCAGTGGGTTGGAGTGTTGTTCCATACACCAAAGAGGTGGTCGGTTTGATTCTTGATGAGGGCACATAGCCAGGTTTCAGGTTCAATCCTGGTTGGGGTCCAGAAGGGAGCTCTGCTGGCAGCTTGCTACTGATATGAATCATAATGTAAATATCTGATATGCAGGATGTTTTTTCATTGTTACAAATTGAACATAATTAAAGCGTAGTGATTAATCAGTAACACAATGTGTAATTATATATGTGTTTTCCGATGGTCTTAGGTGACCCCTGTGAAAGGGTCGTTTGACCCCCAAAGGGGTCGCGACCCACAGGTTGAGAACCGCTGGTGTATAGCGATTGCTTTGTACCTGCAGGATAGGAACAGTGCTGGGAATTCCCTGAGTTTGGAAGCTGATCCCCTGTGAGAGCCTCAAAGGTGGCCCGTAGTCTGGGGACATATTGCTTATATTGAGATGTGTAGAGGCTTGTTGAACTGAAAATAGTGTCCCCAATGCAAGGGGCCTCTAGTTCTGACACCTATTTTTAGAGTCTTATTATTTTATGTTCAGGGAAGGAGGCTGCATGGCCTAGAGGAGAGTGTGGGCGAGAAAGGGAAGTTTGTGCTCCATCTTCAGGGATAAATCAGGGCAGCCAGAAGGACACGGAGGGACGGTGTCCCAGAATTCACTGAAACTCCGGAGCCTCTGCCATGGTGTTTGTTAGCCGAGGCTCTCGGAGGTCCTGGAGTGGGTTGAGGGAACAGAGACGTCTTGGGCTGCCCATAGCACCAGTGACCGTGTCCTCTCAAAGCCCTCCCTTACTCACTTAGGTATAGTCTTTGGTTGCTTCTGTGCGACACCTGCCGTGTCCAGGAGTGGGACAGAGCCCTGATGGCCTGCGAATCTGAAAATATTTACTGTCTGGCTCTTTACAGGAAAAGTTTGCAGATGCCTGAATAAGTGACCCAGCCAGGATTCGAACCCAGGACTCAGAGCCAGAGGTGGCCCTCTGCAGGCAAAGTTCATCCAGGACCTGGAAATGCCGGTGTGAGAGACGGTGAGTGATCAGCCAGCTGGTATCCCAGTGGCCGGGTTACAGTGGGCGAAAGGTGCAGCTGGGTCCTAGGAGCTGAGGACGGAAAGGAGACACGAAGCTCATGACAAGATCAAGTCGTGTGGCAGGTGGTGTCTTAGCAGGACGCTTTCCCTGCAGCCCGTTTCTACCTCTTTCCACACGGTCCTTGCTTCTTGGATGCAGAGGGGGCCCGGGATTCTGGAAGAGCATCCCGTGAGAAGAAACAGGCTGAACTGCCCGCAGAGGTTTGATGTGCTCTTGGGGGAAAACAGACACTCTTGTTGAAACTCGAAAGCGGTTGCTGGGCGCTTCACCAGCTTTGCTGGGCAATAGACTTGCAGGAAAACCGTCTCTCCCATTCAGGGCTGTTGTGAGCAGCTTGGCTCCGGAAACGCTTTTCCTCCCAGCACCTCGGTCAGATCCATTTGCCTCCCGCTGGGAAGAGGCTGAGCTGAAGTGCACCTGCCCGCGTCTCCTGGTGAGAGCACACGCAGCCGATCTCCGCGGCAGGTGCTCTCCGTCGTCCCGGGGGCTCCTAGAAGAGGCGCCCTGTGGAGGGCAGGTGATTAGCATGCGGGATGCTGTCATTACATTCGTTAGGCAGCCTTGGACGGTCGGCGTGCCTTTTACGGCAGGGTAACATTTGCTCATCTAGGAAATTAGGCTCAGAGTGGAAGGAGATGAGAGGGAGCTGGCGTGCAGCACCGACTGAGCCTTTCGTGTCGCCGACACGGGGAGCCCGCTGGTGCCACAGCCTGCGCAGCCAGGGCTGTTGGAAAAGGAGCATCGGAGGGTTGGACGTGGCCTCTGGGAGTTAGTGTCCTGCTTGTTGGCCGCTGTTCTGTCAGCTGAACCTTTGTTCACCTATTTCATAAGTACTCCCCGGTGCTTGCTTCCCCTGTCCGGGCAATCGCGACTCAGTGGTGTCCCTCATGCAATGGGGCCCCTGCCGCCTGGAGGGAGCATGCAGTCTTATGGGGCAGACATGTCAATCACGTAGTCTCACCATCAGACATAAACCTCGACTGCAGTAAGTTCTACGTAGGAGGGGCTCCTGGGCTACAAGAGAGTCTAACTAGTGAATCTGACCTTGTCAGGGAGGGCGGGACCTTGAGGAAGCGGGGTGTCTCCGAGACTGTAAGATGAGCAGTGGTTACCCAGGTGAAGGGAGGGAAGAGGGTCCCACAGGTCAACCTCCCTTCTGTCATGGGCCTAGTATGAATTTGTCTGTGGCCTAATTGACTTACTTGGCTCCCTGAGCCAGCAGTCTTTATTGAGGGCTGTGTGCTGGACTGGAGTACTGAGATGGAAGCACATCGTCAGGATTAGCATCCCAAAGCCGCCATTTATTGAGCTCCGACTTGGAACGCAGGCAGATCGGCAGGTGCACTCCAAATGGGCCTTTTATGAGGCAGGTGGCCTGGGCACGATACTTGGTTTCTCTGAGACCTGGGTCCTACTCGGTTAAAAGTAAAAAGGCTGGCGATGTTTATTTCACCTGATCATTGGGAGCATTCCGTGACTTCCTGCAACATGCAGCACGGTTCCTAGGATGAAGTAGGGATTCGATGGGTATTTGTTGATCGGATTGCCTTGGACCCGTCATGGGCTGTCGAGTCCAGCCTGATTCATCTCCGTTTGTGCAGGGACCACAACGCTCTGCAACTGTCTGCCTGCCCGTTATCCTCCCTTATAGCTTTATCCTCCTATAAACTCTAGCCATTTCTTTTTCTGTTCCAAGCATGAATGAATTATTAAAGAACCATTTGTTTATATATCTCTAGCAAATGCATTATGATTGGTCCAGCTAGGTACCGGGGGAAAAACAAACAAACAAAAAATTCACACTGTTAGCATCTAGGAGTATTAAAATAGATGGGTGGTTTGGGGAGTCATGATTATCCTTTTATGATGACACCTGACAAAAGCAATGCATGTCTGGCTCTTTCAATCCTGTGTGCTCAAATTCTCTTCTTTCTTTTAGTGTCTGCAGTGTCATCAGCCTTGCTCACAAGAAGCCCATAATGTTGCATTTTATTAGGAAATATGTTTGTGTCAGGGATGGAACCGTGTGTTTTGTTGATGCCTCCTGAACCTAAAATTAGATGATCCAGGTGCTTGCCTCTGTTGTGTTTCAAAGAACTGCAGCAAATGAAAAGATACAGACAAGTCTAACGACCTGGAGAGGAAGTGGGCAGGGAAACAGAGCTCAGAGAGATTTCTGGAACTCAAAGGCCCATCTGCTCGGTGTCAGATCCCATGAGCTGAGTCATGGAGCTGCTGGGCAGGGAACCAGTGATGGCTAGTCTCCCGTGAGATCAGCCATTTTCCCCCCAGCCCCCTACTTCTGATAATAAATTGGCAGTTGATGATGAGTAACTATTATTATTATTTCTTAAGTTTTCAGAAACTGAATCCATAGACATGGAAGCGATCTCATGAGATACCTCTGAACACAAATAGCTGGGGCATTTCATCTGTGCTTATCCTAAAATCCCACTTTCTTTGCGGAAAGCCCTTTTATCCTTAGGAGAAATGTGTTTCTTGATTCTATCCAAACAAATGAAAGCAAACAATCAACCCTCATGTTGCTTCCTTCTGAATTGTCCGTGAGAAGCAGAGAGGGGAGTGGCTGCCTCATAAACCCTGCTTGGGTTCGAATCCTGCCTCCTTGACTGAGTGGCTGTGCAACCTTGTTGAAGTCACTTGATCTTTCTGTGCCTGTGCTTCTCATTTTTTTTTTTTTAAGTGGGGAAATAATAGCATTTGCTTCATGGTGGTATTATGAGACCGAATGCATCAGCGTGAGCCAGATTCTTATAACGTCACGGCACACAGCAATGCAAGAAAGCGTTGTTAAACATAGAAAAGACCGCCAGCTTTCTCCTATCCAGTACAGTCATTGCAATGGTACTTGCCCTTCTTCATCAATTCTCTTACAACGTTTTGGCTTTTAGGAGCTATGACATACTAGAAAGAAAGCACGTGAAGCGGCACTCGTGACAAGCTTCATTGAGATGGAGGGGTATTTGTTAGGCCCCGCCCTCTCACCAGGAGGATGGGAACGGCCTCTTTTGAGACCACAAGCTCTGGAGCATCGTCTGGGTCGGGGGCTCAGAGAAAAGATGAGACTTCTTGCTCCCAGTCACGTGTCCTGTAATTACCTGTCGGCAATGTGTCCGGGAGCAAAGCCCACTTCCTTGGGATAACCTGCTGCTTTGCCACCTGTGCTTCTCTGCCCCTTCCACCCGTTCGTCTATGACTTTGTAAAAAAAAAAAGTATTTTTATTGATTTCAGAAAGGAAGGGAGAGGGAGATAGAAATATCAATGATGAGAGAGAACCATTGTTCGGTTGCCTCCTGTACACCCCCTATTTGGGATCAAGCCCGCAATGCGGGATGTGCCCTTGACCGAAATCGAACCCAGTACCCTTCAGTCTGTAGGCTGACGCTCTATCCACTGAGCAAAATTGGCTAGGGCCGCCTATGACTTTTAATGGCTTATTTAGGGGCATGCTGTTGCAACCATCTTCCCCAGACTTATCTGGTGACTAAACAGGTATTGAATAAAAGTGATCCTGTTTCATAGGTAAAGAAGCAAAATGGATGAGAAAATAGGCCAAAAAACATGCATTAAATTCCAGGTTCCTTATATGCGCATTTATTTCTTCCTCAAGAAGGTACCTTCTTTAATCTCCACCCTCATGAAACCATTATGGCTAAAGTCTTGGTGCATTCACTTCTCTTGGGTTCTGAGATTTTTTTCTTCTGCAGAGTAACCAGGGCGTCAATCAACTTACAAACAGGAAGGCAGAGCTGCTGAAGACAGGCTGGGGGGAGCCCAGTGACATGGCTTGGGGTGACCGAGGGAGTACCAAGGGCTGTGAGCATGCTGAGGATGGACACAGGCAGTGGGGCAAGCACCTGGGGCGTCTCCTGGTTCCCCAAGATAGAGGAAGTCCCTGGTTTTGTCAGACTACAATTTTCGTCAGTGTGGACTTCCCATGAGGCCCTCCGGTGTGCCTGGGAGCAAGGATGTCTGAGGTCCTGAGGCCTGGAGTGGGGCTGCATGGATGACTTAGCTCTGGCTTACTCCTGTTCCTTCGCTGTAGATTTCCAGCCACGTGGCCTAGGTCTTTTCCTCTAGCGCCGTGATTCCCAAGCCTTGGGAGATGTCCCCTCCCCCCAGGGGACATTTGGCAGTGCCCGGAGACCTGTGGGCTGTCACCATGGCAGTGGAATAACTATTGGCATCTAGTGGGTGGAGGTCAGGGATGCTGCTAAACGTCCACAATGCATAGAATGACACCCAATGACACAGAATTATACAGCCCCAAATATTACAGTTAAGACACGGCCTCACGTGACAGATGTGTTCCTACCCCTGGGTCTTAGTGCTGGGTGTTCCTGTCCTTGCACCGTTCTCCCTCCAGACCTCTTCCTGGTTGGCTTTTGGTGGCACACAGATTTCAATTGGATAGCCATGCCCTTGGAGGAGATCCCGCTAAATGTCGCCGTCCTCTTCCACATTCAGTTCTCTTTACCAACCCCCCACTCTTAACTTTCCCATAGCACTTAGCCCTGTGAATTACGAGTTGCTCAATAAAGATGCTCACTTTTATGAATCTTGCGTTTTGCTTTTCACAAAGCAAGGAATGTACAAATGCATTTGAATTTTTGATATGTCTTCTATTTTGCCTTTTTCTGTGCAGAAAAGCTTTCCAATATCGACAAGACCCCCTTCACTTGTTGAAAATGTGAAATCATTGTGCGGCAGTAATTAATTTTTTTTTCACCTAATTAAATTTGTGCAAAGAATGAGGAAAGCGCTTTATCATCCATGGGAGAAACGGGTTTCTCACACCTGACTTCAATCACTCTGAGTAACTACTTCATTAAGACAGAGGCAAGCCTAGTGACAGATCATTAATTTTCATGGATATAATCTGGGAAGCCAAATGTTTATAGAAGGGGAGTCTGGCAGGAAGGACATAAATGTATTAGCACTTATTAAAAATAAGCTGTAAGTCTGTTTGCATGCTGCCTCTGTCATGTTATGAATTAATCGCTGAAATGTAACCATCATAAAATATGCGTAGCACAACGTGTCGAGGAAGGAAAAGAAGGTCGTATCTCCCTTCTCTAACAGTTGGAATCTTCTATATTCTTGAATTTACATTTTTTAAAGGCTAGTGGACAGAAATAAAATGGCACCAAAGCCAGGAACATTTGTACTCTCTCTTGCTGTAATGTAACTCTTGCTATTTCGAATAGGATGAAATGGAAGTCAGTGGTTACCTGAGTGGCTGCATTC